CCCACCAATAAACAAAATGCATTGTCTCCCAAAGTCCAACAGAGTATTAAATCCTTTTCTCCCACTGGGGAATTGAACATAGTGTGTCTGCTACCAATGGCTTAGATCCGTTTCACAGTAAGTACACAAGAGAACTTTAAAGAACGATACTGAGTTGGTAACTGCTGCGATAGCCTGTTTCGTATTTGTCTTTACATGGCTTATTTTATCAAAAATGTCATTAACTCTGAGGTCTGACTCCTTCTTGGCCTTTTGTATCTTCTGTTTTTCATTTGACTTTCACACTCTTTGTCAGCAAATTCCTGTAACAAGTGCAGATCTCTGCTGTTTAACGCTAACATGCTCGAGCCCACTTATCATAAACGTTTTAAAAAATAGAAGGGAACATGACTGTTTTTCATTACTGTCATGCTGTGTAGAGAAAAACAGCTTATTGTGGAAAAGCAAAAAAAAAATAAAATAAAATCTCTGTAGAGCATTTGAAAATTGACAATTACACAACCAGCATGCATTAATTGGCTCTCACTTAGGGAAGGTATGCAAGCTTCCCCTGTGAAGATAACAGACATCCAGTTTCTGTTTTCAGCCTTTTAAAACTGGGAGAAGAGGAGGTTAGGAGTAGCCTGTCAGTTCCTGTCTTTGAGCACTGAATTATTAATTTACACAAAATACTACATTAAAAATACCATTAAAACAATCCAAAGCAGCATACTGATAGTTTAAAGGGGAAGTTCATGCTTCAGTAGATTGTCAAAACCAATATATAATATTCAAACATAACTTAATTTTCTTTCTCATCAGTTTGTTTGCCATTTACTGATCATCAAAGGTGTCTGCTGAGGCCTATGTTTGCTACCTTTATGGTTCATCCTATCCCTTGTGACAGAGATTCAACAAAGTGATTTGGAGACCTCACAGGACACTTGTGAGACAGCACACAAATGACTTTCACAAAGGACTGTAACTCCACTGAAAGACTAGGTAGACAGAAAGCCAGGCAACAAACAGCAAAGGAAACAACTCTTATCCACATGTCTTTGAAGACAGGGAAGTGAACAGAGAATATTAGTGGCAAAGTACATTTGCTCATTGCAAGTATTCTGCTTTTCAAATGTGGGCCCCTGTGAAATTCTCTGTATCTTAACTCAATCCACTTTCATCTGCTACTGCAGCATATTCTACACAGAAAAGCAAGTGAGTGATTTTTCTGGAGTCAACTGCAGCATATTAAACACAGAACCAGAAAGGGTAAACCCGGTATTTCAACACCTTCTCAACCAGTTAGACTGTACATGTCTCAAAAATTTATAAGAGAAAGAGACATAAATTGGAGTATACATTTGGAAAGAATTCACATTTTAGCCTGACACAAATACAAGTACAACGATTCTTAACTGACTGCTGCTGAGAGGTACTTTTAGTGAAACCGGCAATCATAGTTCCACACAAGGACATGTGTTCTTATCATTTTCTTTAAACAAAGACATATAAGCCTAAGATAATTTTTATACCTCTGTAGGATTAGACCTTTTTAGGCTGCAATGTCCAAGTCTTCATCAAAAAATTTGGAATTTGGCCAAGAGAAAAAATAGTTGCAAACTTTGACCGCATTAGCAAAATATTTGGTTTGTTTCTTCCAGGTGAGAGAAGGCTGCAGTATTCATTAACATACAGAGAACAAAGGGTGGTGTAGCTTCCACCCCATTACGCTGTAGTCTGCTTAAGGCAAACTCATGAACGCAGGAATCTTTAACTGTTTGCTTTAACCTGATGGTGAGTCAAATACAGACACAGTGCATGAGTTTGATTCTTGCTTTTCTTTGGGGAGTGCCTGAATGACTTGACTAAAAGGCATTCAGAGGCAGATTTCTCTCTGTTGAAGATGTTCGCATAACATACCAATGTAATCATGGTAAGAGGAAGGACAGAGACAGGGATCCAGCATCCAGGAGGAGTATCTTTACCATCATACTATGACAGCAAACCAGAAAACTGCACCGCCTCTGCTTTACTACAGCATCTGTTAATTTTGGTTAAAATCCAACTCTTCAACTCCTCTGCTTGTTGCTGATGTTCAAATTGCATAAAATGAAAATAACTTGTTTGTTTTCATGGCAAACCCCCACATTTTCAATTTGTTTTGAGCTGAGTTTTTTACAAACTTACAGAAACTAAATAAAAAACTCAGTTATTCACATATTCCTACCAGTAACTCATTCAATTTTCTTTTCTTCAGTTCCCTCCATCACCATACCAAAACCTTGCCCAACAATCTTAAGTGAGGCTCTTCACTCAGTGCATGAGTCACTGAATGATGATGTCTCTCCCATTCTAGATTCAACTGGTTTTGAGCACTAACAGCATGGCTTTTTAGGTCATAGTACAACATTTCTGTATTTTTCATTAAAAAAAAGTGGTCCAGCTCTGACTGTACGCAATTATGATCCTCTGTGTTTTACAGACGAGTCCTAACATTTGTAGCATTTGGCAGTATTTTATATATTTAATTTACAGAACTAACATTTAAACATACATATATTGTTGTATTTTTTTTCTATATGATACATATACTTATTTATATAGTATTTAGAGTTATCTACCATTACAGTTAAAGAAATTTTTGGGCTGAAGTCATTTCAGCACTTCTGCAGATTCTACTTGAAAAGAAAATTAAACATATTTAAAACATTTTCTTTTCTGCGGTGGTCTGACTGAAAAAGAAACCCCACCCAATTTGCTGATCATAAATGGCAAGAGATTTAAATTGAAAATGAAAAAGTGCTGTTAAATGCAAAGAAATCACTTCAAAATTGGGGGGGAGGAGGGAGTGGGGCACAAACTTTTTAACTTATCTCAGTTACGGACAGGACAGTATTTAAATGTAACTGCAGAGGACCGAAAACTCAATGATGAATAAGATTTTTTACAAATTGATGCTTTTACTTTGAAATTTTCTAGTCCTTGTTAAATTGAACTGTTTTGGAGTCCACTGAGCTTTTGTAATTGTAAGCTTCAGGACCAGGTCTCTGTATTTGCTTAGAGCAGACAGTTACAGACAGTGCTAGGACACTGTAAACCTGTGGACTTCAAGATGAAAGACTGGCCTTTTGCCAGCTGGATGCATGTCTGCCAGAGCAGATATCAGGCAAAATGCAATTCTCTAATCCACATGAAAATAGTTCTTGCAGCCACAGCTTTGAGAACTTCCAGAGCACCTACGTTTCAAACCAAGATACTGAAGTATACTATGAGAAGGTAGCTATCTTTATTTCAGGGGTGCATCTATACTTTTCCAAGGTTTTTCTTTAAAAAATGTGGTTTGGACATGGTGAGTAGATATTTGAACTGGGCAATCAAGCAGCAATTCCACCTGCACTGTACATACTTAAGCAAGTGGTCCTTTTGACTGTTACAGGCTATTAGTATCAAAATGTAGAAGAAAAATGTGCAAAAAGATTCTTAGCCTTTCTCTTTTGTGGTTTTGGCCTTTCAGTGCTCCTGCTGCTAGAGGCACACAAAAAGATGAATTTTATCTATTACGCTGAGATGCTTCTGAGAATGATTAAATCTCCTTTACTCTTTCTCCAGACCTGCAGGCAGAACCCAGGTTTGCTGCTCATCAATACCCTGCCCTTTACAGGCAGCGAAAGGACATGTCAAGTTCTCCTTCACCAGCATGTCTAGATGGCATTGTAACCCCTCTTTGAATTGTACTATTTCTTAGGAGATGGAATATCAACTTTAGAAAAACAAGTATCAGCAGCGTTGCTAGAAAGGACTGAATAACTCTCTTGCTCTGTGTGACAAACTGAGCTATGTCTCTGAATTTGTAAAATCAATTTTGTTTTGGTTGAACAAATACACAAACACAGGATGGGTGGGAATGTCCCCAGTGAGCTGATGACTTCAGTTTTGTCCCAGGAAGGAAAGCATATGTTATGGAAAATTGACTCAGGGAAAAAGAGGGAAAAAAGATTTTTTTAAGTCTGAGCTTCCCTGAGGATCAGCCAGGAGATCATATTCTATCAACATTCACTGACTGCTAAGCATACCTGTCTTCAGGATACATAACATATAAATTTGCAGACTGTCTTTCCAGTCCCATGAGAATGGGATTTAAGTATCTAGATTATTCTCTACTTGTCATTTAAACTATCAAATGGTTAAAGATGACTATCAACAGTGAATTATTATTCCGTACTGGAAGAACAGGTTTTATCGGCAAACCAAATAATTGCAGAAAAGCCAATAGAGAGAATATATGTGGAGAGTATTCACTCATCATTTCTTCTGATTTAAGTATACAAATGAAAATGAAAAAAATTTTCACTTTAATTGCTGTTTAAGAAGCATATTTTTTCCAAGGAAGGGTTCTGTTCAAAAGTAGAGTGGTCAGTGCATGTAAGTCACGTTCTCTGCTTTTGAACAGAGACAAGGTCAAGCTTAGGTAAACTGTTTGATCTATTGTGATTTGGTCCCTACCCCCTTCAAATATCCTACAATACATTTATGTGCTTTGATAAGGAAGAAAGGCATTTGATTAAGAAAATCTTCTACCAAGCATACTCTCTTTCCTCTCCTACCATGTTTCTCAAGGCAGGGTGATTTGACACCAAGGTCACAATAAACATGTGAACTTCAGAGAAACATGGTTTAACTTCCAGTGATCACAAAACCAAGGGTATGGGAGGCAGACTGGTTCTGAGAATGAAAAATCAAACTGATTGTTTGAAGATCCAGTACTGATGTGGATCTTCAGAACTTGATTCTGATTTGAAAGTCTTGATATTCGACCACACTAGAAGCTGTTACCTCCTAAAGTTGTATTTACAAGTGTCTAGAGTTCATGATCTACAGGTCATCTAATGATCATTCTTTTCACAGCCAAAAAGTCATCTATGTAAGTACTGAACAAAAGGATAAATAAAAAACCCCAACAACCCAAACCCAGTGACAGTTTTCAGTTCTGACTTCATGCAAATAAGTGGAAAAAATTAAACTCACTTGCAGGAAACTTTTGTGCGATCTGCCACCATAGTCCACTGCTGCTGATTTGTTGAAACCTCAATGTAGTAGCTGTAGCTCCGATCATCACAGTCCCAAAGAAGCAACCTAAATATGAAGAAGTTGTTTGATAAGTAAAATAAGCATTAAACCAAGCTGCTTAAGTTCTCCAGTCGTTTATTTCCTCCTCTTAAAATTTAGCTATTTCTTTTTTAGAATATGCCTCTAACACTCAGCAAAGTCTTTACAGCTTCTGTCATCTCAAACCTGAGTGTCTCTATTCTTATTAACCTAAGGCCAGTAGTAGACTTCAGCTTTATAATAACCACCTTACTAACATTAATTTATTACATTCATCCAATTACTTTTCATTTACTTAAAAGTCAATAATTGACTAATTTATTTGGCATGTGGCATTGCCTGCTTTAAACCTGAATCAAAGATCAGTTTGGAAAGGGCAACTTAAGATGGGAAAGAAAAAAGTTTTGGGTGACTAAAAAGATTACAATGTCTTTTTAACTGTATTGTCTTTTCTTTTTTAAATATCAGAAATATTAAACAACAAAAGGCAAGTAGGAAAATGGGAATTCCCAGTCCTGGTTCATGATAATATGGGGAAAAAGGCAATGAATTGCTGACCATACTACTAAACAGACAGAAGAAAAAAGAAGAAATACAAGGTCTTAAGGACTCATTCCATACTCATTCTAACAAACATGCAGCTCTTCAGGAAAGGCCCTAAGAGATGTACTGAACAGCCTTCAATTTTCATACTTGTCTCTCAGAGAGGAAGACCTGAAGCATCAGGGATGCGATTTAACTTAAGTATATAGTTCTCAAAAAACCACATCTGGCAAACGCTGTATCTTCTATGCCTCTTCTCTTTACATGGTGGTTATCTCCCTTGTAAGAGATAATCACCATGTAAGAGACATTTGAAACCTCAGCATTATTCCTCAATTTAATTTTCTTTCTAAAGATATGAATTAAAGCACAACAAAGAACCTTGCCTCTTCTCTTCCCCTCAGTGGGTGGGATTGAGATATGTGTACTTAAGAAAGATAGCAGCACAGAATGCCTTCTTTGGCAAAAGCCATGAGAAATTCTATCTAGAATATTTACAAATCAATATGGAGCATCCTTTTTTCCAATAAAGCAACCAGAAATGAAAAGAGGGTTTTTACAGAGGCAACAAACTGGCCCAAACAGTGTCAGTTACTTCTGCAATTTGTTCTTTAGAAGCAGTTAAATGTTATCTGTATTTTGATTGATAGGGATTTGCCTACATTTTACATAAACCACTTGCAACTCCACTGATCAGCGGAGTACAGTTCAGAAAAACCTAAGTGCTGTTCATACTGTTTTCATATAAACTCAATGGCAAATGTGATATCAAAATCAAAATTTGAAAAAAAATTTCTCTTTAAATTAGAGGTGACTAGAGGCAAACCCAGCATCCTGCATTTACCATTATCTGAAATAATGCTCTCCCTCAAACCTACCCAAAGTTTTGAAATTGAAACATCCAACCTGAAAAATCCAGATGATGTCTGTTCTGAAAAATTAAGGTTTGCTGATTTTGTTTTTTGTTAAAACTCTTATTCTCTGAAACCTTACTCAATACAACAATGAAAAATAAATACTCTACTGCAGTATATTGTCTGTTACCAACTGTTTGATCCTCAGCAGTTGGTGAAAGTTAGCTAAAGTTTACTAAGATTGCTGCTTAAGTCTATTTGTTACAGAAGCAAATGAACCTGCTGTAATTAAATAACTGAAGCATGCTATCCAAAACAGCTGTAACTGCAACAATGACCTAAATGAAACTACAGCCACATGCACACAGAATTGTGATAGCCAGGTAACACAGCTAAGCTAGGCTCTTTCTCCAGCTGTGAGGAAGAACTACCACAGATCTGCATTTTTCAAAGTGCAACAGATAAGCATCCATCGATTGTCAATGAAAATAGCTGAGACATACATAAAAAGAAAAGTAACTTGTGACACGCTACAGACATTTCCCTGGCATAGAGTTTCAAGCTGTCTCTCTTTAATTGTCTTACAGAAGAACACCTAAGTCCTATATTATAAATTCCTTTCTTCCAGTTGAGAAAGTCTTTCTTGCTTTCAGCTGCTACCTCTTCTGGGAGGAATGTAACTGCAAAAAACCATTGCTCACTTCTAACTTTAAAAAAAACCAACACTGCTAGAGGGGGGAAAATGACCTAGCCAGTTGCTGAACGCAGAATCCTTCCTTTTACAGAGAGAAGGATTTTAAGTTGTCCCAAGCAGTACCCAGAATACCTTCAGAATTTGGTTAGTAAGGACACATGTCTATATCTTTGCCCTAAAAAAGCAATGCTATTACCTTTTTCTCAAAACAATCTGGTTCAGCTCTTTTTCTTTAGGTTTTGGAATCCCAGCATTCAAAGTGGAATCAGGTCTACTGGACATGAAGATTTAGAATAAACTCCTTACATGCTCTCAACTGAACCCAGATCACTAATATTATCAAAACCAATGAGCTATCAAAAATAGCTTTAAGAAGCTAAAATAAAACACTTTTAATGGAAGCCTTTTAGCACACATTTATAGTGTTTATTTGCAAATTGAAAAATTCAGAGCGAAGTAAACAATAAAAATAGTTGCCTGTGGTGTCATGAACAACTTAAAAAGTAAAAATCCTACACCCCAAAACAAAACCACACAACTTCAACCCATCTCCCCCTGCTTCATCAGATCCTCTCTGTTCTGCTTTTCCATTGCTTGAAGATCTCTAAATACTAAAGAGACTAAATGAAGTGACATTTTCTGTTAAAAAATAATACAGAAAAGTTTATGGATTAAAATCCTGAATTTGGTAACCACTAGTAATCAATAGATCCTGAATTAATTTAATAACTATATATATACAAAATCTGCTAAATGATAAAAAGAAGAAAATGAAAAATACGTAAATTTGTTTTATTTTTAAAAGGCTATTAAAATGTAACTAATTACGTTTTTCAATAGGATTCTTTTCATCATGGCGCTCAGTGTTGTTTCCTTGATGCATGTTTTCAAAGCTATGATCAAGAGTTTGAATATCAGAAGCACACTGGTGACTGTAATTTCAACTAACGACATTGTAATTAAAACACAACTGGCTTGGCTTTAGAGCAAAAGGCTAACAGGACATATGTGTTCCTTTTAGAATGTGTATAATTGTACTCTCCCAAAACAACGTAGCTGAAATTAAACAGGTATAAAAAAGCATATGGCTTAGAATTATTACAAACCAAATAATGAGTGAATTAAAGTTGGCAGAATCTTTCCCAAAGTGACTACACATGAATGCTAAATGTAGATTTTGTTTCTTTGGGACTTGCGAAGAAAACAAAAAGTTCTTTCTACATCTCCCTGCAGTAGCTTTCTTAAGAGTGACTGGGGAGGAAGGTTGCTGACAGAATCTATTTGGCATTTACTCTGCATGAAATGCCTTTCTGGATAAGCAGTGAAAAACTTTCAGGTGATTACATGAATATTCACCAGTGCACACTGAGCACAAAAGCCACTTTTTATGCCAGCTAGAGTAATCTTTCAAACATGTTCCAGGCAAACTACCAGACTAAGCTTTTGTAAAGAAGCAGTGTTTTGCTAAGATGGATGCTAAATGACAAGAAGGAGAATATTCCACTTAAAAAGTCTGAACTAAACTCATTGAAAATGCATTTGTCTATAGCAAAATTGCCCATGTTCCTAGGACTTTCAGTATTAGAATAAAAAGCTAAATAAGCTCTTGTTAGTAAATCATGCCCTCAGGATTGAGAAGGAAAAGCAGAACAAAGCTTTTTCCAGCTCACTCCTTGCAACTTTCTTAGATTTAAACATATTTCTCTCAGAATCATCGAATAGGTTGGGCTAGAAGGGACCTTCAAAGGTCGTCTAGTTCACCACCCCTGCAATAAGCAGGGACATATTTAGCTAGATCAGGTTGCTCAGAACCACATCCATCCTGGTCTTGAATGTCTCCAGGGATGATGCATCCACCACTTCTCTGGGCAGTCTTTGCCAGTATTTTACCACCCTCATTGTGAAGAGCTTCTTCCTCACGTCCGACCTGAATCTCACATGCCACTTCGCGTAAAGTCTGAGGATGTTAATCATTTAAGATGGTACTGTTACTTGCATCACATGTTGACAATGCCTCATTATAAATAAAATTTTATATTACAGGCGTGGGACACTGATTGTATTGGCTACCTGTTACCTAAAACGAAGCTATAGTACTTTTTAACAGTATTTCCCTGAATGTCATGTGTTGCCCTACAACTGATTGTTTTGTATTGAGACAAACATTTTGTGCTGTTTCTGCTTGCTTTTTACTCTTTAAAAAAGATTACTGTAAAAAAAAGATTGTCACTGTTTAGTTCAGACTGCTATATAACTACATATACTCCAGGTGTTAGCAGAATACAAAACAGTAGCAGCCGTACACCTGACAGGATGATACCTGCTTTCCAAATACTGCAAGACAGTAGTTACCACATACAGTATAAATATTCGATAATACTGTGTTCATAATCCACTTGCATACTTATAGAAATCCAAAAGACAGGAAGGAACACGTAAGTAGCATCACTTGTTGAAAGATGAGGAAACAAATAAACCCTCAATCTGTATGGAAAAAGGTTATTTTAGACAATTGCCTTTGCATTTTGCCTCTGGTTGTCTATAATCCCCTTTCATTTTCTGTAGATATTTATGTTTCAGTAGCTATCTTGCAGGAAACCAATCTCTTTTCAAGATGGTAAAAAGGAGACAAAAGTCCTGCGTAGTTGCTATGTGCTTATATGATCATTTATTCTGACTTACAATTTCACTGTCAAACACAGAAAATGAGCAGCAAAGAAAAACTTCATAAGTAGAAGTGGTATGGAAAATTAGAAAGCATAAGAAATGTATATGATGATGGTATAAGCAAAGAGAAAACACATTAAAGCTAATTGATATCATTTGTAATTTAAGAATTACTCTGAATATGAACAACAGAACAGTTGGCTATCATGTATTCATATTAGTAACAGTCTTTGAATAGATGAAATGGGCTAAGTGGTTACTTTACTTTTACAAAATGCAAAATATTTCTATTTATTCTAACATGAAAACAACTATGGTACAGAAAAATTCTGTCTCCCTCCACCAAATATATTACAACCACCCTTGTTCTATCTTTTTTTGTTTCGGGTTGGTTGTTGCGGTTTTTTTTCCTTTCTTTTCTGGAAATTCATAGGAAAAAAACAACCCAATGAAGTTATCAGTCAAAGATAATATTAGACTTCTATTCCAGATAAATGCAGGGTGAGTCAGAGAGCTATTGTGATATGGCAGCCGTTTCAATATTAAAGTTTTAGCCATTTAAAAGTTAAATTATGTTTGCTATGCAAATACAGCAATTGCTGTTCCTTCTGTTCCTAATTAAATAGAATAGGTTTTCTGTCATTGATAAGGGCCCTTTCATAAGGGAAAAATAGCAAGGTTATTTTCTGTCCAGACAGGCAACAATGTGGAAAAACTACCTAAAGTAATGATTTCTCTGTTAACTGTTCCAAGTAGGAGTCTTAATAAAACAAACCTCTTAAATAGAAAAATGTTTTCATTTCTAAATTGTCTGAAAGACAGTATTCAGTTACAACTATTTTAAAATAAAATCACAGAATAGTTTGTGTTGGAAGGGACCTTTAAAGGTCATCTAGTCCAACCCCCATGTTTTCCAGGTCTTTTCTATTAGGAAATACTACTGAGCACAGACTATCATCACATCTGTTCCAGATTTTCTGAGTAAATTATGATGTGGAAGACCGTGCTCCAAATTTATATACAAATACCTGAAGAAGTATTAGACATTAACAACATTTCAACATGGCCTCCTATAGAATTCCTGTATCCAAGTGGGGATGTTACAGTTTAGATACATAGACTACAACACAGGTAAAAAGTAGCCTGCTTGTTTAGTTCAGCAGATAATGGTCGACAGTACATCATCCATGTACCGCTTGGAAAATGAGTTCCTCCAGAGTCAATTTTAGGACCTATCCTGTTTAATAACTTTATTAATGACCTGGACAAGGAGATGGAATAAGTCCTCACAAAGCTTGCAGGTAACGGCAACCTATGGGATGCAACTGATAAATTCCAGAGCTTGGCTGCCATTCAGGAGGACTGATTACCAGACTCTGGGAAGACTAATGGAACAGGCAAACAAGAATCTCATCAAATTCAGAAAGATCAAAAGACAAATCCCATACTTCACACAGGCTAATCCACTGTAATAGTAAATGCTCCAGTCTGATTGGCTGTGCTGAAAAGGACAGGGAAGTCATACTGAGCAGAAGATGCCGTTAGTTGCCTGTCTATCTTCTCAGCAATGAAAGCTAGCAGCACCTGGAGGTGTAGCAACAGGAACTGAGCCAGCAGAACAAGGGAAACAGATTATTTTCCTCTGCATGACACCTGTTAGATCACACCTGGCATATTGCATCCCATTTTGAACCCAAATACAACATTGATATATCTGAGCAAGTCCATCAGAGGACAACCAAGATGGTCAGGAGGTTAGAGCACATGCACCGTACAAGAGGCTGAGGAAATTGTCTTGGTTTACCTAAGAAGGCTTGGGGTCGGGGAGGAATTTAAGCTCTTTTCAATACCTGAAAAGCAGGTTATGAAAAAGACTAAGCCAGGCTCTTTACTGAGGTGCAGAATGGGAAAAACAAGACAACGGTCAAAAATTGAAACAGGATGTTTCAGATGGACTAGAGGCATTGGAAAAAAGGAGCACCATGAAAAAAGGAAAATAAAGCCCCAAAAGTACACTGTGAAGATAATTAAACACTCAGAGAAGTTCTGGAATTTCCTTCCTTGTAGGTTTTCAAGACCTGAGTGCATAAAGCCTTGAGTAGGACGGTCTTTCTTCATAGCTGACCCTCCTCAGAGGAACAGGATGGGCTAGATAACTTCCTCAAATCCCTTCTAAGGTTCTAAGATTCTAAGACAATGGGACGACTTCTGCAGAAAGCATGCATACAAGAAACACTCCTGAAACAGTAAGTTCTTTATGCAGTTCTAATGCATATTTGAGTACCAAGAGTTCTGCTTCTTTCATACTTGGAATTTAGTTGCCATGGTAACACATTCTGACCTGGAGGCTCTCCCCAGCGGTATTCTGAATTCTACAGACTAAAAGCAGCTACTACCCTTTTTTCAAAGGCTCATATATTTACTCCCTCTGCTACAAATATATTCAATGGCACACTCATGTCTCTGAACTTAAAAGATATGTACTTTAATTCTTAATTATTGATTTATAATCCAAACCCACAGGTCTAAAGACTCAGTTTCTGGGGATAGAGCAATTTATGTCATTCTGCAGTCACGGTGTACAGCCAGCCTAAAGAAAATGCTCCTGGAAATTTTTTTCTATTAGATGGGAGGGTGAGATCAAGGGAGTTTTCAAGCAAGCAAGCCACAGGAAAACAGTCAATGAATACAGTTCAATCAGTTGTGGAAGACATTCAGTTCAAAAAAATCTTCTTTCATTAAGATAAAATATTGAAGACTTTTTGCCCTAATTTATGTTTATATATAATTTGATTTCTGTTCTGGTCACAGATTTCCTGGTGCTAAAGAGTCACCACCTTTAGCAGTGCACAGTACAGGACATGTTCTAGACCCTTGCCAAAGCTGTAGCTGCCACATAGTGAAACCCCACTTCCCCTCTCACAGGGGCACCCTTCTCTTGGCTGCCTCCGATATGCAACAGACATGGCTGCAACTCAAAACACTAATTCTTCTAGGCAGAACACAAGAAGGAAAAGATGACATAGCGTTAGCATTTCCATCTCTAGGCAATGCAGGCAGTCTCCTCTGTCAGAAGATACCCTAGATGATAATGTTTCATATTGCTGGTTTTATGGCAAGCTATTCATCTTGTTTGTACTATACATGCAGGAAAGCTCACAAAGAAAGATGAGATTCTGACCCTACATCAGTATCAGTAAAATGCAATACCACACATCACTAAATGCCTATTAGTTTTAAATTATGTAGTACGTAGGGTTTTTTTAAATTGGGTCTACACACTTGTTGATTATACAATTATAATTTCTTGGTAACCTAAAGTCTAGTTCACCTAACACACTATTTAATAATGAGACTTAATAAAAATCTTCTGAATAAACAGTTGCAAAGTTTTTGATATAGGAAAGTAAATATTTTTGCACTGACCAGAAAATAATTCACCAATTGAAAGAGAGGGGAAAAGGGCAAGATAGAAAGACAGAGACTATGACCTAAGCAACTATGCATTTTAGTTAATATATTTTTCTCTTACTCCTTCCCGTGGCCCACAACTTCTGCTGCTACTTAAATTTAAGCTTAAAATTACATGAAAATGAGGTAATTGCATTTTTAATTATCTCTTTTAAGAAAACTGAATACTATGTCTTCCTGGTTTTCTACTTGAGATGCAATACTTAATCGAACGTTAAAGACACCAAACTCAAAAAGCATCAAACATCGAGTGTGCCAACTATACTTATTCAATTTGTTTCACACAGCAAGATCAATGCCGGACTTGCATTATATATGACATCTATAGCTAGTACATAGACAAAATAATACTTCTGTTAGGTCTGATTTTGAAGCTTTATCTTCAAAGTTTTATAACCATCATAACAATGCCACAAGTCAAAACCAAAACACACAAGCCAGAAACAGGCAGTTATAAAAGAGCTTTCCAGTCTCAGTTGCTTATCAATCGGTTTGAAGAGACAACTCTAACAAGTGGATGGCACTGAGCTTATTCCTAGCAATCTGTATTCATGCACCTGGTCTCCGCTGAGAGCTGGTACTCACTGGGGTTTCAACCTTTGCTCCCTGGTACCCTAACTTCAAAAACCTTTCTCTTTTTATCCCATCATCACAGAGAATACAAATTAAGTCCCTGACAACATATTCAGAATTTACAAAGAACAAGAAGCCATTAAGAGAAGGTTTTGTATGCTTAGATTTTAGGAAACAAAGCCCCCACATTTACAGTGAGAGAATCTGAAGTTGGCAAGGACATTTTTGTCTTCACCGCTGAGTAATTCTGCTCTCTCATCTATTTCTATGTTTTCTACATTAGCCAAAAGTTTGTTCTTCATATGCACACAGACATTCGCCGGAGAAACAGCCCGATGAACTCAATCCAAATCTGAACACATTAATTAATCCAACACTGTAAAGCAATATTCAGATTACTGTGCCTTTATTATATACTCCATGTTCAAGTAAGAACTGGTGCTAATCGTATAGTGAAAAATAAACCTATCACGAGATGACAGCTTTCTTCAATAAATGTTTCTGTTTTCACAATGAGGCAGATATGAGAAACTGCATCTACTCTGACCACAAGTGAGGCTGCAATTAAATTTCTATTTTAACATAAGTATATGACTTTAACCTTACAATTCTACTGTTACTATTACTACACCTCTGAAATGTAATATTTTCTGGAATTGCACTGCTGTATCTTGACATATAATTCACACATTAAATTTTTAACATGCCCGTTACATTGAAGTAAGAAGCCAAATGACAACTACTAAACCAGTCCCCTAATTACCATTATTCCCAAATGCCATATTCTGAAGAAAGTAACTCAGCAAAGTTTCACTATTGCCCTTAATTTAGAGAAAAATAAACCAACTTACCGTATTGATCCAATCATGTAGGGCTGTGCCAGCTGCACTACAATCGCTCCACTCCCAAGCTGGTGGCACGTGTACCCAGAGTCCCAATCATAGTTTTTCGTGTCTCCATTCAATAAGGCGTTGCGACTGCGACTTACACCCTCAATCACACTCGCACAGTCTGCAATTGTTGCAACATTTTCAGTGGGAACTGTGAATCAAAACCACAAAGACAACAGACATACAGTCAGAACACAGTCCAGCTAGCACTGGTCTTTATTTCTGGCAAAGAAGTGGGAAAACAAACAAACAAACAAAAGGATGAAAGTATGATCCACATGAGGAAATGTAACTCTTAATTTAACATGAACTATGAAGCAGAATCAAATGGTATAGATAATTTTTATAGCATTGATCCCAGAATAGCTTAGTAAATGACCAGATGTATTTCTGTCTTAGTGATATGAGAGCACTCTTCTAATACAAGTC